AAACGAACCTGTTAGATAAATGCACGTTTTGTTCAGCCGGATAATATCCACATGTCTATCCTACTTTTATTATTTTTGAATCATAAATCTAATCGATAGATTTATGATCGATAGATTTATGATTAGCATAAGTTTGTTCAGTGATAGTGATGACATCGTTGCGAAATTATTAACCGAGTCATTTTCAAGATTGAGTTACAATGATAAACTGGAGTGGCAAAGGATCGGCTGCATGACCCGCCATCAAGTGCTTCATCCAAAAGGACAGGAGGATGGACTTTGTGTTTCAGTGATTTGATCATCAAAGGTAGGCCTAAGTCATTTTCAATGCGGGCCGCCGTGCCGACTTAATTCATTTGTAATTGTTACTTGGCTGTGGGTGCCCTGTCATGATAGGTGTTTATATAAATGATGTTGTTTTGTGTGGTAGAGGGTCGCTGTCATTGATACGTTTTGCACCCCGGACCACTGTTTTGATATTCCGCTGAAGTCTACGTTGAGACGTAATATCTCTTCTTTCGAGGGAAGGGGGGGTCAGAGGGCCTAGGTATAAAAGTCACGGCTCGCCATTGCATTTGTACCAGTGCTTTTCACAAGTAGACTCTTGCAGGCCATAGTATAGGAGTGATTCAACAACAACAAAAAGACATATCTGAGAAGAGATCAGGACGAACAGAAAGAGGAAAAGGAAAAGAGAGTTCACTGAAGAGACCAGGAGGGTCAGAGCAGGAGGAAGAGGAGGAGATGAAGACATTAGTGAAGAAGAAGAAATATATGTGAGGAATAAAGATGAAGTATCAGAAAGAGGGCCAAAGGCAGGGATCAGGAGGCAGATGAAACTCCAGCTGGACCACATGGTATGTTCTTATTCTCCTTATATATTCCATTACAGCAGCACAATCTAGCAGCTCTTAGTATTGACAAATATTGATTGAAATGTGTTGCTGCACAGGTCACCTTTAGCTCTCTGAAGAGATGGGTCATGTCATTAGTGTACTTAATTATAACTAAGTACTTACAGTATGCAGAATTAGAGTATTCTCTGAATCGGGTGCCTTTTGGGTCTTTATATCTTTGAAAAATGAAACCAAAATGTTTGGTCATAACATCTGGTAGTGGACTACTTACATTTTCCCACCTCAGGCACAAAATATAAATAATTACTAGGAATTTACTTGAAAAAATGTAACAGGGTTGAAGTTTTTGACAAAAAGTAGGCATGAGACCTTGTTTAGCTAAGATATGGCACCACATGGAAGTCAAGGACATTACAAAATTGTAATATTTTGCAAAACTATTGTTTATTTTGTAATAAACAATTATTTACTATTATTAATTCATATAACAGAGTTGAAATGTTGAGCATGTCAATCTTAATCTGAAAATACAAAAACTGAAATATAGGTAAGAGAAGAAACTGACACTTTTGTGATGTAATTCCCTCAATGCAGATCACACATGGACTGATCCATTATTTTAATAGGAGGGTAAATGGTATGGCGTGACAGGGTTGAAACAAACTGAGGGACGTGTGTCAATATTGCAATTTCATAGATAATTCAAGTATTTTTTCAGAATTTATTTTTGATCAGTTAAAGTTGACAAGCATATGATTATATTAGCAGCAACATTTTGGAATAATTGGCCATTTTGATTTGTTTAATATGTAATAATGCTTAGTGAGCACATGCAAATATGTCTGTCTAATACTAAGACAACATATTTTTTGTAATGCAAAACAACCTGTTCCATTAATTAATTGCTTTAAAATACATTTTGTAGTTTCCTTTCATTTAAAATGGTTGTGGTAAGCTTGGGGGACTCAAAGGGCACCCGATTATTTGTCTGAACACCTTGTTTCTCTTGTGCATTAAGAACACTTGTGTTAGGGCATGAATGAACAATAAATAGGTTATACAGTGTAAAATACCACGTACTGTCCGCCCTCCCATGCCACCCTGGCATGACCAGTGGCGGAGGGTCATTAGGGGAAGGTGGGGCACAGCCCCACCTAGTGTCAGCAGAAAGTATTACAAATAATGATTACAAAAAAATACTAAAAAATAAATAAAAAAACATATAAAATATATTTTAAGGTCATGTTTAATAATCTGATTCGTCTGTACATTTCTGTTTTAGTCTGTGTTCTTCTAATTAGTGTCTAGAGTGCCGTTTTGAGCTGTTTAGAGCCTCTCAAGTCATAAAACCCGATCCTCCCTCTCACAGTCTAAGTGAACGGTGATTGTAAAAACTACACTGCGCATGCTCAGAGTATTTTTCTATTTAATGTGTGTGGCAAAAAAATAATGACCGTATGGGCATAGTGCTCCCATCCCCACCATACGTCATCTCACATAATTCAGAATTGATTGGCTGTAAGTACTCACGTGTGCAGTGCTGCGAAACGTCACGAGGAGACGAGAGAGCAGCATATAGCTAACATCACCAGCGATTAAAAGAAGTAAAAAACTGAAAGAAAATGAATGAAGTTGACCATTTACTGGAGCACACATTTGAGACACTTAGTCTCGGAGAGAAACTGGAGGTAAAGCGCCTCGGTGCCCACCATCCACCGGATTTCCAAATGGTCCAGACTGCGGGCAAAGTTAAACGTGGGTTTAACGCTGAGTGGTTTGCTAAAAAGAAATGGCTAACGGCGAGCATCCAGAAGAATTCCCTCTTTTGCTTTCCTTGCCTGCTTTTTGGTGAAGATCAAGGTACTTGGTCGAGGACAGGTTACAAGGACTTAAAGCATCTTTCGGAGAGGACAATGAAGCATGAGAGCAGCAACAGTCATTTGGAAAATGCCGTAAAATTGGGATTACTTGGAAGGGTGAATGTTGCAGCTCAGATTGACAGCGCCTACAGACGCGGCATTGATTCTCATAATAGGAAGGTGGAAGAAAACAGGTACGTGCTTGGTCGGATCATCACCTGTATTAAACTGTGTGGGAAATGTGAGACAGCACTGCGGGGCCACAACGAGTCGGCGGACTCTCTGAATCCAGGGATATTCAGGTCAATTTTCGAGACAATGTGTGAGGGCGATTCCAGGCTTCAACGGCACTACGAAGCTCAGCTTGTTTTCAAAGGGACATCAAGCACCATACAGAATGAACTCTTGGACTGCATGTATGATGTGTACAGGGAGGAAATAGCCAAGCAAGTGGACAACACATCATTTGTTGCCGTTCAGGCCGACGAGACAACCGATGTCTCCTGTAAATCGCAAATGGTGATTGTGCTGCGATACATTATGCCTGACCTCACAGTTACAGAGCGTTTTTTGGAGTTTGTGGAAGTAAAGGACAAAACTGGTGTAGGTCTCTCTAACAGCATCAAGGCTGTTCTGGAACCCCTGAAGCTGAAAGAAAAGCTAATCGCTCAGACCTATGACGGGGCGGCCGTCATGAGGCGGTAACGTGCGCGGGGTACAGACGGTGATGAAGGAGACGTACCCAAACGCTCAGTTTGTTCACTGCTACGCCCACCAACTGAACCTGACCCTGCAGCAATTGTGTTCAGCAAGGATGAGCATCCTGAAGGTGTTTTTTGCAGATCTAACTGCTTTTTCCACTTTTTTCTCCGGTGCTCCAAAACGTGTTGCAGCTCTTGCAGAGGCAACACAGAGACGCATCCCACGGCCACCGGCTGTGAGATGGAACTTTAAAAGCAGAACTGTGAACGCGGTTTGGGAGACCCGAGATGCACTACTTCAGTGTATGAAGCATATACGCGCACAACCAGGATGGGATGCGGTCACCATAAGTGAGGCATACGGCCTGTCAAAGAAACTGCGGGACCGAGCATTTATGCAGCTCCTGGAGTTTTTTTCGTTGCTTATGCCAGAAGTGGATGTTCTATAAAACACTCTGCAAAAACGAAGCATCGATGCACCTGGGATCAACAGCGCGCTCTGCCGTTTCAAGGAAAATGTTCAGAAAATGAGGCAGAAAACTGATGCATTGGCCGCCACTGCTCATGATGGAACAGACGAGCCAGGCCGACGAGTCAGTAGCACAGCGCCGGTGATGAAGGAGGCTTGTGACACAGTCATCTCACAGGTGGAACAGAGGTTCTCACAGAGTGACCATTTGATCGCTGCAAAGCTTGTTGACAGCTCATTCTTCCCACAGCATGTCCTGTCATTTCCTACACCTGAGCTTGACTGCGCCGTGAAACTGTGGCCTGCGTTGGGAAACAAGGAGAAGTTGAAGTCTGTGCTGACCACGCTCTACCGCCACAGTGAGCTTCACACTGGAAACACTGCCCTGTCTCTGTTGAAATCCATTCACGAGAACAACTTGGAGGAAACGTTTGCTGAGACTGTTATTTTGGTCAAAATAATAGTGACAACTCCGATGACGACATCCGAGTCAGAGAGGAACTTTTCCACCCTCAAAAGGATAAAGACTTTCACTCGAAACACCATGGGACAGCCGCGACTTAACGCATTGGCCATGCTTTCAATTGAAAGCCAGTTGATCCAGCAACTACAGGACTTCATCCCCAAAGTGATAGACACATTCTGTCAGAGGAAGGACCGCCGTGCCGCTTTTCTTTTCAAGTGAGCCTTCAGCTTTGGTAAGTTCATTTATGTCATATATTTTGTTGATCTTCTGTGTTTTGCCTCTGCTGGATCGATTGATATTGTGACCTCGATGATGAGTGTCTGTGTTTTCCTTATATTTACAGTCTATGGTGTTTTAATGCTAAAGCATTACGGTTGTTGTTATTGTTAAGAATTACTTTTGTAATGGTGACCTTTACTCCATGTATGAAGGTGCATTACTATGACATCCCCACGCTGTGTACGTAAATGTATGCGCTCACAGTGTTGCTCCTGTGGTCTTCAGTATGTAATTTGACACTCCCCCTCTCTCTCTCCTCCCCCCCTCTCTCTCCTCCCTCTCTCTGTCCCCCCCCCTCTCTCTCTCTCTCTCTCTCCCCCCTCTCTCTCTCTCTCTCTCTCCCCCGACCTCTTTCTGCCCCCCCAGTTTTGTACACCTAGAAACGCCACTGGGCATGACCTCTTGCTCCCCCTTTGCGACCCCATGTCAAATGTTCTAGAACCGCCACTGGGGAGGAGACGTGACGTCCGGTCACACCCTGTTTAATAATTAATCTCGTCGTTTTGAGAAATGTTGTGAGATTTAAAGGCGTGAAGAAGCGTTTAAGGAAGTCTCTGGAAAGAAGCCAGGTTATCGTTTTAAGTCTGGGGGTTTGTACTTCTTTCTTCATAACACACGTGTGTTGACGATGTCTGTCATGTTACATAGGATATTGCGACCCGCGTTGAAACCGGCTCAGCTGCTGTCAGCAGTCAAAAACAAGCAGCCACTGTGGAGGCACGAGACGCTGGTCAGCGCGAGCTCTGCGTGCGATGCAACTATTCGGTCACTCGAAGACTGTCTCGGTGAGTTACTGTAACACGATTAATACATAGGCTACTGTGGGCCAAAATCTGAGGGGGAAAATGTACTCAGATCTTGTACTTTAGTAAACGTAGAAGTACTTGAGTGTCGAAATACTCTGCTACAAGTAAAAGTCCTGCATTTAAAATATGACTCAAGTAAAAGTAGAAAAGTATTGGCATCAACATATACTTAAAGTACCAAAAGTTGAGTACTCATGCAGTTTCAGAATAAAACGTATTATATGTTTATATTGTAATTATTGATGCATTAATGTGTTTATCAAAGCTGGTAAAGGTGTAGCTAGTTTTAATGACTGCAGGGTACTGCAGGTACTGCAGGGTAGAATGTGAATTGCAGGTGTCTAAAGTGTTATTTAAGTGTTGATTATATTTCACATCATTAATTTAAATCTGCAAAGTAACTAAAGGTAGGCCTATTCAATTAATGTAGTTGAGTAAAAGTACAATCTGAATTGTAATGGAATAGAAGGACAAAGTAGCAAAACATTTAAATACTCAAGTGAACCACAAGTAGCCTACCTCAAAATGTTACTTAAGTACAATCCTTGAGTAAATGTACTTAGTTAATTTACAACACTGGGCAAAACTCAACATTAAACTCATGCTTATGAAACCCCCAGAGGTCAACTATGGAGGGGCGCCGATGCGGTTCAACTACGTGTGGCTGAGGGATCACTGCCGCTCTGACGCTTCATACAACTCCAGCACTAACCAGAGGAACCTGGACACTGCGAGTATAGACCTCTCCATCCGCCCTGACAACACAACTGTGCAAGACGGCCATCTGGTCCTCACCTGTGAGTACAGTTCTACCAAACCAAACATCTCAAAATACAAGTCTGGTCAGGAAAAGCATGCCCAAAGTGTTTTAAATCATTTTCAAGTTATGTGGCAGTGTTTACGCCTCATCCAAAGTAAATGCACTGAAGCCCTTCGCAATATATCAATATTATATTGATTTTGTGATATGAGACTAGGTATGGTCTTATATTTTGATATAGTTAGATGCCAGTATGGGTGGTTTCTAATTGGTTTTAAAGGCTGCATTCAAGTAAAGTCATTTGTAATCATTTCTGCACCCTACAATATCGTTGTAATATTGATATTGAGGTTTTTGGACAAAAATATTGTGATATTTTTATTTCTCTATATTGCCCAGCTTTAAGGCATTGTAATGACACTGTAATGAAGTTATTACACTAAGGTAGATGCCAAACAAGCACAAGACCAAGACCCCCAGGGGCCCCAGTCAAGGGCGCCGGAAGCGGGGGGAGGGGGGCCACATTTTCGCAGCAGCAGATTTATTTTTATTTTTTCAGTCTTTATTTCGAACAGATTAAAAAATAACAAATTAAAAATAACAAATGTGAAAAACAGAATACCGTATTGTTATAATACAGTATTTATCCACATTCATGGTATTGTATATTCAACAAAAAAAACAAAAAAAGTCTTCATATTAATAATAATAATAATAATAAATCATATGTGTCCGAAAGGGAGTAGGAGGAAGCAAATGCTTATTAATTCTCACCCCTTACTTGATCAATGATTGTCCTTTAAATCATTATGCAAGTTATTCCTACTTACATTTACATTTATACATATACAATCATTTCTCATCTTCAATCCCCTTTCTTCATTCTCATAGTTTTCCAAAAAAGTGTTTCTGTACATCCTTTTAAACTGAATTATGCTTGTGCTTTGTTTGAACTCCTGCTCCAAACCATTCCATAAAATCACCCCACAGATTGTTATACTCATACTTCTCAGAGTTGTTCTGACCTTGAGTTGTTTAAAATGTAGATTTCCTCTCAAATTATACCCACCCTCTCTGTCTATGAACAATGTTTATAATTTCCTAGGAAGTAGATTATGTCTGGCTCTGTACATGATTTGTGCCGTTTTAAATTTAACCAGATCAATGAACTTCAATATGTGTGACTTCAAAAATAATACATTAGTGTGTTCAAGATATCCAACATTATTGATAACTCTTATAGCCCTTTTTTGTAATGTGCATAACGGCTATAGGTTGGTTTTGTACGTGTTTCCCCAAATCTCCACACAGTAAATCAGATATGGCAATATGAGTGTGTTATATAGAGTATACAATGAGTTATAGTCCAGAATGTATCTGGCTTTTCCCAATATTGCGATAGTTTTAGCCAGTTTTGCTTTTACACGAGTGATATGAGGTTTCCAGCTGATGTTGTGCTCTAAAACCACACCAAGAAACTTAATTTCATATACTCTTTCTATGTGTATGTTATCTAGTATTAATTGTATCTGTGGATTTGTTTTATGTTTTTCAAATAGCATAATCTTTGTTTTGCTTATATTTAATGATAATTTGTTTGTGTCAAACCAATGTTTTACTTTAATCATTTCTGCTGTTATCACTTCCATTAGCTCTTTCAAATTGTCACCGGAACAAAAAATATTAGTGTCATCTGCAAATAAAATACATTTCAATATATTTGATACTCTGCAAATGTCGTTGATGTATATTATAAACAGCTCTGGACCAACACGGACCCCTGAGGTACTCCACAAGTTATGTTCATGTATTCTGATTTATGTTCACCAATTTCAACAAATTGTTGTCTGTTGCTTAAATAATCTCTCACCCAGTTTAATCCCACCCCTCTGATGCCATACCGTTCCAGTTTTATCAGTAAAATATTGTGATGGTGTCAAATGCTTTTTGTAAGTCTATAAATATTCCCACTGCTTGTTTTTTATTGTCCATGCAGTTTGCTATTTCCTCACTTAATTCCATTAGTGCCATAGATGTTGATCTATCTTTCCTGAATCCATATTGACTGTCGTCCAAAACCTGATGTGTTTCCATGAAACTGTGCCGCGGAAAACTGTACAAATCCCGTTTCAATAATTCCCCTCTACTCTAAAGTCGCATCTAAAACGCCATCTGATCTAGTTGTGTATATTTTGTTATTTTTTATTGTTATATTCAATCTCATTAGCTACAGGCATGTTTGAAGCTTGTAAAGGGAAGATGACAGCTCTCGCCACTCTGCTGTTCCTCAGCGCCGCCCCCCCTCCCTCCCGCTGAAATTATGAATGTAAGGTGTATAGTAATCATAGATAACACGGCAGGGTCCGTTACAGTTTGTTTTTATCTGATTTCAAATAAGCAAAGTCTTGGCTTTCAGAATATTAAACTTGTTTCGGCAAATTCAGATGATAAATAGGCGTACAACCATAGGCGGCGCGTGAGGCTCAGGTTTGGGAAGGCTAAATAACGTTTTTTACCTGACACTGCCCGCCTCCGGCGTCTATAGAAAAGAGATCAACTCAGTGTGCAGAGTTTAAATCTCTCAAGTCATATTACAGGATAAAGGAAATACAGTTTAAACTGCCGTATGCAGAGAAGACGCCGACGTGTTGCACTTATCATTCATATTACATCATCAATCAGATCATCGATCATATAATATCATAATATTGTGGTGCCGTGAAAAGAGAGTCGGAGGCGGTGTATTAAGAATGGAGTTCCAATCTTTATTATCCATTACTTTCAGAGAGGTTAACACATGCACTGCTCTGCCTGATGAGCTAGCAGGAATGGCAGCTAAAGCTACAGGTGTTCCCCACTAAAGGGTCCGTGTGGCAACACAATAAGCAAGGTGAATTATGTCCAATAACGTGTCACCACACAAGCCCCCCCAGAATTCACACAGTTGTCACAACAAAATCAGCATGGCGGGGAGGAACGACACGCCGACCCCCACGACTCCTGAGCACGGGAGTCGGAAAAGTGACTCCCGCCTGTGCGGCCCCCGGAAGGGGAGGGACCGGAACAACAGGTCTTAAATCCGTGACAGGGGACGAGGCCGGGGGGCGGCCCCGTCGCGGAGGTCGAGCCAGCACCACAGGCTGGTCCAAGTCCAGGTGAGCAGCCTTCACCCGGTCCACCGAGACGTGCTCGGCCTTGCCACCCAGGTTGACCACCAGGTGCTTGTCCCCGTGCTCCAAGACCCGGAAAGGCCCATCATAAGGGGGCTGCAGGGGGCCTCTGTGCGCATCGTTCCGGATGAACACGTGCTCCGCCGAGCGGAGCTCTGCGGGAACCTGGGACACCTGAGTACCGTGCTGAGTAGTAGGGATCGGAGCAAAGGCCTCAGCGGCGTCACGCAGGAAAGCCCGCTGGGCCGACGCCGACCAGGGAGCCGATGCATTTGGGAGGAAATCCCCCGGAACTCTCAGCGGCTGACCGTAGACCATCTCCGCTGTAGAACACTGCAGATCTTCCTTAGGTGCAGTCCTCAGGCCCAGCATCACCCAGGGCAGCTTGTCGACCCAGTTACCGTCCGTAAGGCCGGCCTTGAGGGCCGCCTTCATGGAGCGATGAAAGCGCTCGCAGAGGCCGTTAGCCTGAGGGTGGTAAGCGGTAGTCCTGTGCAGCTTAACCCCCAAACCGCCTGCCACAGCGTTCCAGAGCTCGGACGTGAACTGAGAGCCCCTGTCTGAGGAAATGTCTGACGGGGTGCCAAAACGACACACCCACGTTGCAATGAAGGCCCGGGCAACGTCTGCGGCTGATGTCGGAACGAGCGGAACCGCCTCCGGTCAACGGGTCATTCTGTCCACCATGGTGAGGAGGTAGGAAAACCCCTGAGAGGAAGGCAACGGACCAACCAGGTCAATGTTGACGTGATCAAACCTCCTCTCAGGCACCAGGAAACGCTCCAACGGGGCCTTCGTGTGGCGGTGCACCTTAGCGCGTTGACAAGTCACGCACTCCCTGGCCCAAGTCCTCACGTCCCTTTTCAGTCCTTGCCAAACGAACTTCGCCGCTACCAAACGCACCGAAGGTTTAACGCCGGGGTGTGACAGGCCGTGCACAGCCTCGAACACAGGACGCCTCCAGCTGGCAGGGACGACAGGCCGCGCCAGGCCCGTAGAGACGTCACACAGGAGAGTAATGCCCGCGTCGCCGAACACCACGTCCTCCAAGTGCAGCCCCGCGCTCTCCACCTTCAGGGCCTGGACGCCGGGATCTCTGACCTGGTCTGCCGCCATGCGAGTATAGTCCAGGCCCAACTGGACGGCACCGATGACGACCCTGGAGAGGCAATCAGCAACCAGGTTCGACTTGCCAGCCACGTGCTTAATGTCCGTAGTGAACTCCGATATGTAGGACAGCTGCCGCTGCTGACGTGCCGACCAAGGCTCCGCCACTTTTGACATGGCGAAGGTGAGCGGCTTGTGGTCGACAAACGGCCGTAAATTCACGGCCTTCCAGCATGAAACGGAAGTGCCGCACGGCCAAATAAAGTCCGAGGAAGCTCCCGGTCAAAGGCGCTGTATTTGCGTTCTCTAGGCGTCAGCTGGCGGCTGAAAAAGGCGAGCGGCTGCCAAGCGCCCTCCACCCACTGCTCGTGCACTGCGCCGACCGCGTAGTCTGACGCGTCCGTGGTGATGGAGATGGGAGCCGTAGATGATGGGTGTGCCAGCAAAGCCGCCTGAGCCAACGCGGTCTTGACCTCAGCAAAAGCGCCGTCCGCCTCTGCTGTCCAGTCGATCTCCTGGACGGGGGTCTTGCCTTTCAAACGCTTTATACAGCGGCCGCATGATGTGTGCGGCCCGGGCGATGAAACGGTGGTAGAAAGTCACCATCCCCAGAAACTCACGGAGCGGCCGGGCTGTGAGCGGGCGAGGAAACGCCGCAACAGCCTCCACCTTCGCTGGCAGAGGTGTCGCACCGCCCTTGGTGACGCGGTGCCCCAGGAAATCGATGTCCGACACCCCCGAACTGGCACTTTGCAGGATT